AATACCTGTTGACACCTTCACCGCTAATAAAAAGTCCTACAATCACAACAAATGTGCAAAGGTCTTTTCATTTTTATACATTTCCTTTGTGATCGATCATGATGAATATGTCTATATGTTAATCGATTTCCGATGACTGTCGTCTATATCAGCGCAGCCCTTTCACCTACAAAACATACATGTATGTCCGCGGAGGTCATCATGGATTACCTGTATAATTTGTCTTCATCCTAAGCGACCGTTTTCCAACATATGACTCTGTTTAAGGTCAATAGGGTCAAAGGTGACAGATTCCCTTCGGGTCAATGTCTCAGATCCTTTCATAAATGCCGCACTGCATTAGGTCCGGCTGTTTAATCATTAACCTTGGGCTTGGCGAAGTGTGTGGTTGTTGAGGACAACAGATAATCCCGGAAACGGTTCGGTACTATGTTCTACATGCCAGAGAATATAATAACCAAGTTAACAGTATATTGTTATTTTGAAGTTACACAAATATGCACTATGTCTGTGTTTATACAGTCTGTAAGTAATTATTTTGTGACAGATTACTCCGAGTGTAAAAAGTAAGTATTTTCACGTTGAGAGCCGTCTGTATTCCTTAAACGCGAGTCATTATTATATATGCTAAACTAATCTGGCAGGTTTTAAGTATGGTGTCATGTTTGAAATGTGCGATGAGGGGTAATCATTGTTAAATTTGTGATAAAGATTTACAGATGAAAATGTAGGTCAGTCTAGTTTATGGTATATTACAGTTTATGATACTGAAATATCCCTTTCGCGTTTTCCAACTAATGACAGTCGACTTATCATATACACACATATTCACGTACATACATACGCAAACACAAACTATAACGATAATGAACGACATTATAAAATTGCATATCCTTTTTTCCACACGTAATTTTAATGAAAATAAAACAATTTCCGGTTCTCTGTAAACCTCGTATGGTCGACAACTGTTATTCACATAGCGACCACACACAAAGTCACGCGCGTAAGTTTACAAAGAGAAAATTAAAAAAAAAAAAACGATGTTAAAAAACACTCAAGCAAAAATTCGAAATAACAGTAGATATTTACAAAAGTTGAAATAGGAAAATAGGTGAATGTTGTATTGTCATACAAATGTACTTTTTCGAAATATATATATATACATGGACATTTATCGCTATATATATACTAAAAATAGATAGATGAAAACGTATAAAATCCTTCGTTTGGCAGCACATGTGATTTAGCAAACGATCTCGATGACATAGTAATTTACACAGACAAACCTTAATTTGTAACAGTTGAAAAAGACTGCCACACAGGAGAACGAAACATGTGAAGAAGAGCAACGATTTGGTTATATTTATGTAAAACAGGAGAGCGATTTTCCCGTTCAGAAGGTTTGAATAATAATAATAATATACAACATTAATAATATACAACATTTGATATAGCGCCCTATCTAGCTAAAATAGGCCACTCTAAAGCGCTTTACAGTACATATATATACAATTTTATACAGTCAGTACAATTAGCATGTATATATTAATCAATACAATATTGAGGAATTCGTAGGAGCTGCCTTATCAGGCGCTAACTACTAGTCCTATGCCACCTGGCTAATATCTCCCTATGTGTGTATGCCTGCGTGTGTGCTGGAGATGTATTGTGTTCTGTTTGTAGTGGGACCGTGCTTCCAACGGTATCATTTATAGTGCCACTACAGCACAGATACTGCAACACCCACTGGCCCAGACCATTTTATACTCCACCTAGGTTGTTGGAGTTGTGTGGGCAGGAGAAAAAACACTTTCTCTAATATTCCATGCGTACGGCGACTTCGGGGATCGAACCCCGGCCGCCTTGGAAGGCCGGAGTGCTAACCACTCGACCAATCCGCCCACAAGCCTGACTCTTTATATTTTTCGACTTGATACTGAGATTTCGGAACGAAATGTGTGTTGACACCACTTGCAATCTAGTTAGATGAATTGTCTCATGGGTTTGTCCCAGACTGTAAATATATTATTTTATAAATGATACTGTCGTCCGTAGAAAGGAGCAGTATATTATATGTTCTGAAATACAAGTAATATGTAGGGGAGAAATGGGATCTCAAACCGTTTCTTGGTGGATACCAGAAGTAACAGTGATCAAAATGTACATACTTGGACCTGCTGGTTATGGAACGACGAAATCCAACTTACAGTTTAGCTTCAAATGTTTTCTGTCGTAACAGGTGAACAGCTCAACGGGCTCTTTTACACAGGAAATGTCGAACCGGAAGTAGGATTACAAGCGTGAACATCATGAAACTGTTCTGCAATATTTATAACAACTATAACATCGGTACTTAAGTGATATTTAATGGACCATATCACTACACAGATTTAATGGTTTGTCAGTGGTCTATCATTGCACAATAAAACAATGTATTGCCCTTCTTTGGAGGGAACAACGAAGACAATTTGTAAACAAATATATTTTAGCGAGAAAGATTTATGATCCACACCGTTCGTTCCGATTTTTAAATAAAACGTAGACTACAATGTGTAAATTCTAAGCACTTTTGTTTCATGTTTGAGAATGAAGGTATATCGATTGTAGCAACCTAGTTAAACGGAGCACAAGAGGGGTACAGCTCACATACCCGATACAAACGTATGTACATATGATGATCGGTAATCTTCATTTTCATAGTCAGTATGTGTTTGTTTTGTAATGGAAATCAATTATAGGCAATTTATCACAGTGTGACGTTAACGTAGATATGTGTCACGTGACGTTGAAAAGTATTTCACGATGATATCCGGGTCTTAGAATATAAAGGAATGTGACTTATATGTTTTATCTCGACCATGTGTATTCAGGTTTCACTGCCCTTGTTTTTAGTTTCAAATTGTTTATCATCAGAAAAGCACTAGGATTACACGCAAGTTAATAAAAAGCACAATCTGATTTAAACCATTTCATTATCTTCACAGATACGTTTTGACTGGAAGGTAGAGTATCGGACTGGAATCAAAGATCTGCTTTTTAATTCGATTGTAAAAAAGCATTTAAGGACACGATTTCTTGACCCCTTGTAAAAGCAGAATAAAGGTCCGGGACGACATAGAGCTTTGTAATAAGTCTTGAGTTTTAAGGCAAGCAGAAGTCAACTATGGATAAAAAACATTTGAGTTGTTGTGGTGTTTGCTTAAAGGGACAATAGTTACTGAAGGCGGATGACACATGTACCTAGTCTTATTTACTGAATATTCTGTAGGAAGTGACGTCGTGGCATGTGATGGCGGTGTCTATCCAATAAATATGTATTTATTTCGTGTTGAATCAATGTTTGCAAGCGTTTTTTCAGAGCTTCCTTACATTTGGTACTACAATGCGATATTATATCATTAAAAAATCGTATAAAGTAGAAGAATATACTTGAGAAATATAGCAAGTTTCTGGTTCCTCGAAATTGGGTCTATCTTAAGGAACGGTTTCGAGGGTCTGGTCGACAGGAATAAGAAAGTTGCTATCTTGCAAAATCCCATATATAATACCTAAATTGTTCTATTATACAAACACAAAACGCACGGATAGTTCAACCACAATTTCCGAAAACCTATCGAGAGCAGAGTCTATTATTTGAATATCGTCTTCTCTGTTATCTTTAATTCGAAAACAGCTTGGTGTAGCCAGGTCAGTAAAGTCCGTCATTCTCTTACCTTACTAGATCGGTCATTTCCACAAGGAATGCATAACAATTACCCAGAAAGTAATCTGCTCCCCAAGAAACTAATGAGGGAGTTTGTTTGCAGGGGTGTTTTAGTGTTTGGACTAACACATGGTTGACAGACTAACTCCCTGGACAGTGAAGTCAGTGCAAAAGCATGGTGGCATATTTCTGCAATTGACTTTCGAGTTACGTAAGTCGATATAATTTCAGAAAGATGTTCACATTTTTAAAATTATGTCGACATAGGTAACTCTTAGGTTGAAAGTCGATGGCAGAAATATTTCATCATACAAAAGCATTTATATGTACAACTAGCGAATTACGTATATATATATACATGTATGTGTGTGTGTGTGTGTGTGTGTGTGTGTGTGTGTGTGATTAATAAATTACTGTTGTATAGAGTGGGAAACGTAGAGGTTTATTAATATACAGTTAAAGTGTCTGGTTCCTCGAGATTAGGTTAAACGAAGTTACGGAAACTGCCGAGGGAATTACTGAGTAGGGATGTTTTAGTTTTCAAACTAATATTCGGCTGGTAGATGACTAATAACCTGGACAGCGCAGATAGGGTAAATACAAAGGCATGTTTAATTAAGCAAATGTCATTAATTGTTTTGAATGTGTCTATCGAACTAAAGCGCACTTGAAGCTTTTCGATCGAACACTCAATCACATTACGTAATGTTTAATGGGGTTTTTTCGAAGTTTCGAGACAAAGAGAGACTAACATCCCATTTAGCTGTTATAAAATTAAGACTACACTTATATCCTCGTTCCAAAAATGTGGGGAATTGACGCAATATGTGTCTTTATGAAATTAATTTGGCCTTAACATAAAGCCAAGTCTAGGCCGTTGGTAACAAGCCGTCGATACATGATGCGAAATCTTCTAACTGTGATTTGGTTCCTGCCTGGCAGGTCCTCCAGCATCTTATGTACGCGTTATCTACAACCAAAGCCGTCCCTGTAATAAAATTACCGACACATAACGACCATTTACATGATTCGCTTCTCAACACTCATGACCACTTTATAAACTGGATCTCTTTAGAGGTTGGTATAGCCAAGATTTGTTTTTAAATGTGTGTGACTCTGTACTCACGTGGAAACATACGACGTTAAATAGGGATGCCTAATTACACCCACAGCAGTCGCCCCTCTTGAAATATTTAATGTTTGCACATAAAATGAGTATACAGACGGGCTAACACTTGTGTCCTTGTGAGAGCAACCTACCCCGCGCCAAAAACAGTGAGTCTGCAACAGATGCTGAACGGGGCCGTATCGAAGGCGGGAAGACTAGGTACTTCTCATGTCGATATTATAAATGCGGCCTTTCTGTGCCGCTGCAAACGAATCGAAGCTTTATGAAAACGTGTGGATCGTCTGGTGTGCTTCGTACGTAAGACTGAGTTACGTTTTCGTCGGCCAAGTGTTGATGGGGCGTTGATTAATTATTTTTCTCTTGTTTATTTTCAGGCGGAGTTTCTATTGTTTCATATTTATAAACAGTGTGTGATATGATCCTGCCCACATTATTATTATTATGTTGTGTCTGTAATTGTACGCAAACAATCCATCTCCACTAGCAATAGAACCCTTATACACGATGTGTGTCTACACTTTCAGCTATACCCCTATTATCCAAAGTTAGCCAGCCAGGCATGAAAGAAACGAATAGTTTAAGTGCTTTACCTTTAGGTAAATTTGATCAATAAACAACCCATTCCCAGCTCTTTGATTGCGGCGCTGTTGATACCAGCCGACCCGATCTCGATCTAGCGGACCCTGAGAGGAAAGGCCTTTTTGTGTGTTACCGGAACAGAATACAGGACGGTATGGATTAGAACGTGTGAACAGAAACTGAAAAAAACTACGGTGTTATGTGACAGTGTTGTCTTGTCTGACTAACGACCCTGATGTGCTTAGGATTTGTGCTACATCCTTCGTCACAGTTATAGCGGTATATAATAACCAAGGAGAATGCGGACTTAGATCATAGGTCGGTCTGTTTCAGAATCAGGAGTTTACGACCTGTATTAATTGATCTGTGTGTAATATGGATTATTCCAGAACATAGCTGTTAATAGGACTTAAAGCGAAATTGGTTTGTCGTGTTTACATTTACTTCCATCGTTTTACGAGGTATACATTAATATACAGCTCGCGGTATATGTAAATACAGGTGAATACACCTAAACCGGTATGTACATTACTATATAGGTGTGTACCTGTACACCGACGACGTCTACACACAGGTAGATATATATATATAATGAGTATACATATAGGTTCGAGGTTGAGCCATTCAGCAGGTACGTTGAAAGTCACATGTGCGCGAGTTGTTACTAAAGGTATGGAGCTAGAGAGGAAAAGATCAGTGTCATCGCTCTCAGCATGAAGCTAAAACAGAGGGTGGTCATCACCTGTGTTGGATTAGCAACTCTAACGATATTTTACCTCCTGGTGGAAACTGTCTATAAAATTAATCCTAACAGGCTTCCGACGTTTTTAAAGAATTCTCTATCGAACGTGGGACATGAATACGACGGATCACACATATCTGCAATTCGAAAGAGGCTAAATAAGAGTAACTATACCAGTGATGACTTCAGCCCCGAGGGAGGGGGCGATAAGGTTTCGGGGGTAGGGAAAGATACTCTACATTCCTCAGATGACCGACGGTCAAGAAAAGATGGGGTCGAGCACTGGGCAATGTCACCTCTTCTACTGAGGATTAATAACACGGATTCAGAAGTGGATTTGTTATTACATAAACTACAAAATTATGATAGGCGTAAATTTGATTTTACGAAATTGAAGCCTATACCGTATTATGAATATCTAAAAACACTAAGGAAGCGGATTAAACGCAAAGGGACGAGTTTGGATGCGTTCAGGACATTTATAGGGTAAGTAAACTTAACACATGTGTACGTTAATATGTGTGTTATATTTATAATTATAAATATATTGAATGGGAACGCATCATGTACACAGCACTGAAAACCGGTTACTGCTGAGAGAGATAAAAAATACAAATGAAACGTGTGTGTAATATTGAAAGCTGGCGATCTTGTAATGTATGTGGGTATTTTGTTTCCTGATACAGGTTTTCTATTAAGCCCACGTCCCTCCTTTCTGTCAGTGTGTGTATAGGTTTCTTTTCATAAATTGTTTACATTTCTGAATATTTTTCTATAGCAGTAGACCGCCTCCAGTTTTCAGTGTTATGTATTTACCGTACAATTGTACTCGCTAAAAATTGAGACTTTTAAACTGATCACAGTAAAAGATAGTCCAATATTAGATCGAGTTTCGTGCCTGTCCGATTATTCCTCATACGTGAGAAAACGAAATCCAGCATAAAAGAACTGTTGACATATTGCTGACGGTGTTTAGAATGAATAGAGTCACTACATATGTGAATGTATTATTTATTAAAGCTAATCCATATATACCTCGGATACCTATTACTCAGTACAGTGTATCTGGGACATTCTGAAAGTCGTTTAAAATAGGGGTATGGTCTTGGGGAGGGTTGGCCATAACGAGTGTAAGAAAAAATGGGGGAAAAAATCATTTCTACACTTTTCAAATATTCGCTTCGAGCATTCGTCCTTTTCAATCATCATCATCATTAATTAGCATGCAATACGCCAGAGTAATTAAGTTTGTCAACAGTGGGAACAAGGAACGAATCTCTGATAGATAGGGAAGCTGGTTAAAGGTGTGACATGTTTACTAATGTAAGCTTGGATTTAGATGAGATATAACCGCAAACCATTAACTGATCATGACCAGCGTCCAGCCTCACTATTGACCATAGAGGTGGTCAGATCGGGACGGCTGACCATCAGATGACAGCCTTTTGTGTTTGTTTTCTTAATACAGACATATATAAATAGTAACATAATTGGGTTCGGCGAAACGGTGATATAGTTTTAAGTAAGATACATTTGCACGATAGCTTAGGTATTTGACGACGGTGGCCACAGATGACGTCGCCGATTCAATGTCTATATACATTTAAATGTTAATCACACTGGAATGTTATAACTGGAAAAATGTAAATACCATGGTAAAATCTTCGCTGTCTCAGAAAGAAACCTCCATTATTCTGTATTGTCCCACATAGGTCGCCTCATTGATTATCATGCAGTCGTGCTAAACAGACTTATCTTTGCATGGTATGGTCTCGAAAAATCCAAATCAAATTATGGAAGGGCGAATCAGCACATTTCATATTACAAGAGTTTTCCAACTCTAAGTATAGCTTTAAGCATGATCTTGTGAGTTCTAGTAAAGTGATATGATGCCCTCAGGTGTTAGCTCACATATCGCCTACCTTCCCATCCCCCACCCCCGAGCCCTGTCTCTAGATCCCTCTCACTGATTTGACCTTAGACTGTCCTCTGGCCATAATGAAGCTATTGTTTAACATGTTGCTTTCGTGTCTTATTAGAAATTCATTAACAATTTTAATGGCGGGCATTAATTAATACGCTAGACATGTAGTATGCATAAGTCTGGTGAAAACAGACCTAGAAAAAACAACGAATTATAAGTTATAACCCTCACATAATTATGCTGAAAAATGACTTTCAGTAGAAAACCGTTATAAACCAACGACACGATCCGAGTTGTTGACAGTAAGTTATTCCATCAGCGTCGTATTCTTATCAATTATAAAACACAGGGGCCATACCACTTATGAAGAATTAGTCTATAGATGTATGATACATACGCCGGATTACACGACTTTCCTACAAATGTGTCTGGTCCCTGTGATCTCAAACTTTTTTGTCTATTATTTTATGAATGTGTCTGACCCTTGGGATCCAACACTATATATTTATTTTTATTAACTTATTTTTTTATTTATCAACTAAATCATGTATTCGGCAAACTTTGTAAACCTTTGCCTGGACCATGTGAACTCCAAATTTACGTGTACCGACAAGGACATGTAGGTAAAACACTATCTCACGATCTTCAAAGGTCATATTGCTATACTTTTTATGTGTATTTCGTTGAAATTAACTGTAACTGATGATTAAAGAAAGTCACGATATCACTATCAAAGAAGAATTTAGACAATCAATTAAAATCTGTCATTGTTTTCTTTAGACAGATACGGTCTCACTGATTTATGATACAAACTAATCGTTTCTGATTTTGACGTATTAAACAAAGGCTAGTCGGCCTTTTTATATATAGAAATATATATATCACGCGAAAGTATTCCTGTTATAGTTCAGGGCGGGTAGCAGGTGGGAGGTAATGAATATATATAATTTTATGGCGTGCATGGCAGGGGTAGGGAGTGTGTAGGAGGGGTATAAAATGGGCAGGGGTTGGGGCGCGCGCGCGAGGTTGGAGTGGGGTCTGGGGGATTTGGTAGAGCGCAGGGGAATGGACAGAGGTGCATGTACAAGCTATAAAGAGGGGCTCAGGAGTAACTGGTGCTAGGCTGATGGTGGTACAGAAAGTGGTGTCAGAGGTGTATAGTGTACGGGACGGTAGAGATTACGGAATAATGAAATTCTGGACACGTTGTTGCCGAGCTGTTATTGTTTCCGACATTAAAAACGTTTGGAGGGTGTAGAAGGGGTAATTTTACCAGGGGTAGGTTGTTCGGGGTATGGCGTAGGAGTGCGGAGGGATGGTGGGTAGTATATTTGGTAAGGAACAACTGTGGTTAAGAGATGGTGGTTAAATACCGTAGTATACCGGCTGGGTTGGAGTATGAAATAAGGAGAAGATATTCTGGACACGTTGTAGCCAAACTGTTTTTGTTTCCGACATTAAGAGTGGCCTCTAAACAAACACACTCGACTTGCTAGGCGACACTACGGTGGTATTTGTAACCATGTGTGTTATCCACTGAATTGTAAACGCAGCTCTTGAACTATCCCAATATCTTCGTGGTGAATATGAATTGATTAAATGTCAACTTTACAATAAACGGAACTCCATTTATTCTCATCTTGACAATAAACGGAACCCATTTATTCGAGCTTCGATTATTCGGAAACTCATTTTTATAGAAAAAAATATTCATTTGAATGGTAATATATGATTCCCTAATGTGGTGGATTTTTCCTGTGTAGAAGCAGAAGATTTTGACGGGGAATTGGGTGGGCGCCATTGCAATTTTTTTTTTTTTCTGTCACATACTTTGTTATGGTACTGTGAACGCCATGACAATTTACCCTTAACCTCTGTTTATTATAAATATCAGATTAGCTTATTGAACCTCAGAGTCAGTGTAGCAAGTTCCATATCGCTGAATGTAATATACAGATATGTATTAGGTGTATACATAGCTTACATTATGTATATACGAACACGTCGCCATAAATAAAACGTACATGTTTTTTCAAGATAGGTAATATACATGTATCGGAAAGAAATGATAAAAGCCCACACATCAATCAGCAAATACTAATTCACTCATCTGAAACTTACTAGATGGGTAATTTACTATAATCTAAGTACGGCGTGGTTATTTATACAACGTATTAAAATCAAAATATTTTTTAATTGAAATTAATCATGTAATATGTCGAAAAGATGACGTTTTAGCTACATCACTGAGATGTATGTAGAAGGTGTAAAGTAGAGGATCGTCAGTGCTGATACTTACCTGCATGTACATTTGTATGTATATATAGGTATTTATACAAGGTGTCAGATACTCCCATTTATCTTTCACGCTAATGAACATCGTCTAATGTTCGTGTTCTATAGGCCCCTGGCGTCGTGACGGGGGAAATTCATTAGACAAAAAATAGCTTTATGTGTTGAATTCATTACAAATCCCCGTAACTCTAGTACTAGCATTCTCCCTGTGGGTTGGATCATGTATAAACCTCGTTCCCTGAGGGTCGGTCCCAATACCGACCATCGTTTTCCAAGGGTCGGTCAACGTACTACCCTCGAACGATTAAATAATAAACAAACGCAACTGCCCCTTAACACATAACCACTGTTTGTACACACGACTGCATCCAGCGTATTCATCATCTATAATACAGGCTACACTACCTGCCATTTAAACGCGTGTATTCTTTGATCCCAGTAGGACAGTTTAATCAAACCTCGTTGAAAGCCTGTCATTTTCAAACGACATTTGTCGCCATTTAGAAATGTCTCCTACCGACATACTGATTGCAGGACAGTCACTCAGGGGTAAAAAGGCCTTATGAAGGAAACTATGACGTTTTCTGTGAGTCTGGAATTCTACAATCGTCACATGACGACGGATTGAACAATATCAGAAACGCTGACGGTAGGAAAGATGCCGGTGAACTTGACCTTCTCAGCAAGACGCCGTTTCAAATACATGAAAGTGCAAATATAGGTCGTTACTATGATTGATAGTTTCAACTGTTAAGTTGTATGAGTTTATTTGTAGAATGAGGGCTCACAAAATTCTCAAAATCACAACGTAGGCATTATTTATAAACTTTGAATATAGGACCGCTTGTGTTCATCAAAGGTATGGGATTTTCTTAGTGTTTCTTGGTTCAATTTCTGTCACCTACATATCGATCTTATCTTGCAATTAACTCGATCAATCATGTACACATACATCAAAAGTGGAAGTTCAAAGAAATTGAACCGATAACTTCATTTTTATTTTGAGGAAATATATGAAGAATTCAATGGGAAAGGGTTCTTTTCATTTTCCCCCCATTAAGTGACGCAAACTACATAGTACTTTTTAACAAACCATTAGCTAAGCACACGCATGGATTTTGCAGCAATGTGTGTGATATAACAATGAAAATTATCTGAAATTTAAATGGAACTTTTTAGGTCTGTAATTGGAGGAAATGACGGTTTAATCTTGGCATATCAGACAGTACGATTCGTTTGACAGATATATCACAAAATGCCGACTGTC